ACACACCAACACAAACCCCACAAAATCCGTCCGACAAACTAACACATCAGGCATCTGCTGCTGGCATCAGTTTCTCTGACATCTCCTGCATCTTCTGCGGCTCCTCCACTTTTGCACGGGCTCTCAGGTGTCTGGTGGATAATTTGTAAAAATTGGGAAATTATATTAGTGAACTAAAGATTTGTAAAGGTATGCATTCTAAAAAATTGTAAATTATACCAGTGAACTAAAATTTTTTAAAGGTACGCATTCTAAAAAATTGTACATTATACCAGTGAACTAAAAGTTTGTAAAGGTACGTGCTCTAAAAAATTGGAAATTGAACGAGTTAAACCAAATTTTTGTACATGTATGGGTCAAAATTTTTTAAATAACTGAATGGGTCTAAAAAACTGGATAATGAATGGGTTTAGAAAATTGGCACTTGTTTAAGTTTTAAGAAATTTGGTAATATGGGTTTAAAGAATTTAGCAATTGTATGGGTATGATATTTCAACACTCAAATGTCAGTTAAGAGTCAAACCCTCCAAACAACTCAAGAGTAAGAATTCGCCATTGGGGATTTGAACCAGGGCCATCTGTATCATATCCCAGCTTAATAGTATCAACTGAACTAACAACGGCAGTGTTTAGCGGTGAAAAATAGGACTAGATTGAACATTTTAAAAAACACCCAGACTTCTATCAGACATTCCAATTTAAAAAATACAAAACAGATGAGATGAAAAGCCTTTTCCGAAAATGTAGAGCAATGAGGATGGTGACACAAATGCAAAATGTTTAAAAAGGAAACAGACTGCCATCAGACATTTTGGCTTAAAGGTACCTTTTCCACATAGGTAGAGGGATGAGGATGGTGACGCAGGTGAAAAAAAAGTAAAAACAAAACAAGATTACCATAAGATTTTTGGCTAAAAAATTCAAAATAAGGGAGACCGAGGGAGGGACGGAGACAATGAAAACCAGTAGAACACCTGGCAACCTTGACATCACCATCGACAGAAATCTGCTGAAACAAGTCAGGGAGTTCAAGTATCTTGACAGCATCTTTTCGGAAGACGGACGTGTACAGAGAAATTGAGACGAGAGTAAAAAAGGGTAACAGCGTCAGCTGTCAGCTTGCCCCAATCCTCAAACATCCTAACATTCCCATCGAGACCAAATCCAAGCTCATTAAATCTATCTTTATCCCCACCTTGACTTACCAATGCTAGACATGGACCCTGACCAAAAGTAAGATAACCACTTGCCAGATGAGATGTCTAAGGAGAGCCGTCAACAAACCAGACGGTACATGGTCAGAAAGAACAAGATCAGAGAAATGGTGGGAACAACACCTGCCCTCCACTATATCCGAAGGCAAACAATCAGGTTGTTTGGACATCTCACACGTATGGCACCTTACCAGCTTGCCAGTAAAGCCTACTACAGAAAAGTGTCAGGGTACAAGACAACAGGAAGACCAAGAAAGACCTGAATTCAGAGTGTGAAGGATATCCTGAGAACATACAATATCCCACCCAGCAAGGCCATCAAACTTGCTAGAGACAGGAAACTCTTTCTCCCCTCAACGCCCTAGAGGTACAAGAGGACGGCTAAAGTAAAGTAAGAGGGAAGGACATAGACGAGCATTTTCTGCACATGTGGAGGGATGAGAACGATGACGCAGATGAAAAATATGTAAAAACAAAACAGAATAGAATTAGAACAAATATATTTTGGCTAAAAAACATTCAAAACAAGGGAGACTAAAGGAGAGTGAGAGACGTACCTTTTCCGCATATGTAGACCAATGAGGATAGCGACGCATATGATGAAGACGAAGGAGCAAATGATGCCAGCGTAAGCGCCGTGCGACAGGCCCCACAACAGCGAGTCGTCGTCCTCATAGTAATGTATCCGGCCCTCAGAGCCACCTGCAGACACACATACACGTACGTGAGGAATGATTCCTTTGTGGGAGTAGGGAAAAAGAAGCAATTCGACACAAAGCTGGTCATTCATTTTGATTTTTTTTTTTTGGTGTACATCATGAAAGTTTTATGGCGCTAGCAACACAATACTGCCATATAAGTGTTGAAGATTAGAGGTGTTACGAGTGAGTAACAAACACAAAAGAGAAGGAGGGGAGATAAGGATGATAGATGTTTGATCGGAAAGAAAGAACAAACCACACCAGAGCACCCGCCAACCACCCACATAGAACGTTTGGAGTAAAGGTAAGCACGTCGACACAACAATGAGCATATATATGTAAATGTTCGTTTGGCTGATTGAGTGAAGAGAAGCACGTTGACACAGTAACAGGCATTTAGTGTAAGGAAATAGAAAGACAGAGAGACAGAAACAACAGAGAGAGAGAGAGAGAGAAAGAAAAGAAGCAGGACCTACCAGTGACCTCTTACAACCAACAACACAGGAAAGTTTGAGTTTGAGTTTGAGTAAAAAGAAGCACATTGACGCAATAGTGGACACATGCAGTGTGCTTGAATCTCCATATTTTTTATCCTCTTTAAAAAAAAAAATCAACATTTACTCCAAGTTCACAAAGAACATCATTCAGGATGGAAAATCAACATTTCAATTTTTACTGTGGGTGTTTTAACACCCCAATTGACATATTTTGTGTCATTTAGGCAGCGGGCTTCAACCCTGCCTGTCAAGGCCAACCTGGCCTGAGAGGGCTACAAGGTCCCAGCAGAAAGATCGAGACACCCGATAAAATTTGTACCCACATGGGAATCGACTCAGGTCTTCTGCACATGACGGTGAAGCGCCTCACCACCACACCATAGATATCTGTTTCAGGTGTTCATTTACAATTGTCATCAAAACCAATCGTACGTCTATTCAAATATATAGCATTCCGTGTGTGCTTAAAAATGATTAAATTCCACACCCCATCAACACTATATAGATTCAGTGTTTGTGTGGGAGCATAGGATCATCTCTCTGAGCAGGCTTAGCATAAATTCGTCATCTCCTTTGTATGAACATGATGCCAAAACTTAAGTATAGGAGGATCTTATTTCCTCTCATGGGAATATAATTCTCTTCTTGCAAATGATCATACATGTTTTATGTCCCCACTGACACAATGCAAGTAATATAGGAGGCTGGCTTCTTTGCAATTGCCACCCAGGGGGATGTGAGTGATATGTGTTCTGAAATACTACTACTTGAGTCGTAAGACTGCGTTTTAACTTATAGAGTAAATTATTTAAATGTACTAAAGAACATTTGCATGGCACGCACGCCCACACCCACACACAAACACACCCACACACACCTACATGATACATATATATAGCAGTAGCTGTAATGTATCCCTGTTCAGCGATGTGATATGAGATATGAAATTAAATAGAGAGCATCGTCTAGGAAATAATCTGCTGGCATAGAGTAAAAACATGGGAAACGTAGAACCATTTTTTAATCAATCAATACAAAAAGAAAATACCAATGATTAAATAAAGGCAAACTTTTAGAAAAACTTCAAAAGTGAAAGGCAAATTTCCCCCCCCCCCCCAAAAAAAGGAAAAAAAAGTGCAATTCTCTCAATTACGATGTGATGCTATAGAGCTATGATAAAATGCAGTAAAAAAAAACGTACTAGAGAATAATTAGCAAAAACTAACAAGTGAAGAAAATATAATGAAAACTACCAAAATAAACCTGAGCACAAACTAAATAATAGATTTGTATACTTTTCTAGCCCAGAGATTTTATAGAGTGCATAAAACAGTTATATCTACCTCAATTTCTTTATATTGCACAAAAACTTTATTATATTTTATTCATCTTTCAGTTTAGTTTTAGTAAAGGTTTTACGGTGCTCGCAACTGCATAACATAAGGTCATATGAGCGTCATTATTCATCTTTAAAGACATATATAAACTTTCCACCATTCCATTGTAAAACAAAAATGTGCGTTATCTAAAATCCCTTTTGATCAGCAGGAGAAGAGCAAAGTGCGAAATAATTTTTGGCATGACTCCTACACAAACCATTCTCTAGATATGTATACAAAAACATAACTAAAAATATACAAATCTATCTACATACATGTATACATACACATATAATTTATATACATTTACATACAATTACATACCCATACGTGTGTTTGTGTGTGTGTGTGTG